ATATATATATATATATATATATATATATATATATATATATATATATATATAAATATATATATATAAATCTTTATCTACGTTAATATCCTAATACAAATATATTATATTAGTGATTTTAAAGGGCCAAAAAAAAGTATTCTTTTTAAGAGTATGTGTCACCTGGCATTAAGTCTGCTTGAGCTCATCTAGACTCAGACTAACTGAAAACAATGTTTTGTACTAAACAGGCAGAGCTTCTTTTGAAAACTCAAATCACCATTAACCATCGGGGTTAATTGTTTGCCAATGAATTCCAGGTACTTTTAGCTCACACTTTGCATACCTCCAAGATATTCAGCTTGTTTGATGGAGTCTTGTTCCATCTCATGACCACATCTATTAAAGATTGTAGTATCAGACTTACTACAGATCACAGAGAGAGTTGAGGCCAAAACTAGAAATGACAACAACCAGTGGGTCCTTGGTTAACATTTTGGAAAAAAATAAGATTATAAACAATTTGTGAAAACTGCTGGTTTTCTCATATGTGCAGTGATTAAGGTATATACGGTAAAGCAAATATGGAGACAGCTGGTTAGATGTACAGCACTAACTATGATCCCATTTAAAATGGCTGGTGATGTCTGTGAGGACCTGAACTCATGACACCCATCCCTGCGTGTCTGATTAGGTCAGCCTCGCTCTCAGTGAGCCGTATGGCCACAATTTGCCTGAAGCTGATAAAACAGTAAGCTAGAAACCAGTCAGAAACCATGGCAACCCACTCTGACTCTGACCATCAAAGATAATATGATGCAAAAAACAAAAACAAAGGACTGAGGACTAGATAAAATCTGAGATTTTAACCTTTCAAGCGAGCGTATCAAATTTGTTTTCACACTTGAATTAATCTGTTTTTCCGAATCACTGCTGATTTCATTGCTGCGAAGCCGAAACTGAACAAAAACATATATTATAAATTTGGGATAAGAGCCTTTTTCTGTAAATATGCTGCATCCAGAACTCATAGAGGAGGCATTCTTAGTGTTAAATAAAGCTGTTTTTATTTTGTTTTTGTTTATTGAGGCGTGTTAAACTACAATAATAATTTTGTTTTAGATGAATCAGTTACTAAAATAATCATGACTGCAGTCTTAATTAGCTCCAGCTCAGATCATTATCAGAAACAAAGAACACTGTCATGAATTGTACAGTTAATATTAAAAAATATGTGTGCAACATGGAAACTGTAAGTAACAGTAGCTTAATAAAAATATAGCTTATATTATAATACTTTTGAATCAAAGCAAACATTTTCTACTCTTCAAAAAAATGTGGAAAAAAATCTTAAATAAAAAATGTGTAAAATCAGATGTTGCTTATCTCTACTGTATAAAATATCTCAGATATAAAGCATCATAACACAGACAGTTATCTGGTGCTGATTTACTTAAACCCAAACCTTGTCTGAGGTATTTGCAGAAGGAGTCATTTTATTGAAAAAAACAATATCAGCGCTCTATCCAGAAACCCTCAAGGTGAAAAGCTTAAGTTTCATCTGGTTTAATTCTTTATAAAAAAATCGTTTTTCAGGAACCTTTTGTAACCGTATTATTAATTTAAAAAAAATTATCCACATATTAATCGTTTAGCAAAACAATCGTTAGTTGCAGCCCTACTATAAACGGGTTTTTAATAAGGTCAAATGAAGACATCAAAAAACCTGCTGTGGCTGTAACAATGACAAAAACTAAGAAATCCAATATGCTTCATTTCTGGTTAGTTTGAGTTATTTATTAATCTAAACAAAAAAAAATGACACAAAGAAAAAAAAACGCTAGATTTTTTTCTTTTTTGATTGTTTTTTTGGTTTCTTTGAGCAAGAAACCAAAATGAATGCTTTCATATTAGGTTTCAGATAAAATGCCGTTATAGAACAAAATCTATTTTCAATAGAACTAGAAAGAATCACAAAGGAAATGTGAAAATGACCACAAAAGAAAAAAAGGTGAAACTAGAGTGGTGAGGTTAATTAGGAGATTACTCTCTGAGGGTGTAGCAGTTCATTTGCCTCGGTCTTAATAAGCCAAAAACAGAAAGAATGACCTGAAGTTAGACTGGATCAGGACCAGGGTCAAAGGCCTTGCCAAACCACCAGGCACATAAGCACGCACTGCAGAAACACAAGCCTTCAGTCTATGCAGAGGATGTGGCCTAGGATCAAGACCAGCCTGCCAAACCCCAGACCTAATTAAACCCCTTCTGTCACTTAACCAGAGATGACCTTGGAGTACTTTTTTACACTTTTTTCTAACTTTCTCTACTTCCTGTTACTGAACCTTCTCCTACACCCGAACACACAACAAGCTGGCTGTGTATGATCTCAGACAAAGGATAATTAGAAAAAACTTTTTTTTAAAAGATGTAACTGAAGAAGCCAACCAAAAAGTCTTTATCAAAATATGTGTTCGCAAACAATCTTGATTTATTCTGCAGCAGAGCATCATGAGAAACACAAAGTGTCACCGTGTCTCCTACCTCTTCTGACATCTTTGAGTACGGAGTCTCAGCAGTTGCAAGGATGAGGACAGGGCTGAAGGATGGCACATCATGCAGCAGGGTGAGGAAGGTGCTCTTCACAGTGTCACTCACTGTGTCCCACCACTCTGAGATATGAGGCATGTACACCACGCTGGGAACGCTCCGACGAGCCTCCCGGAAAACCTGCAAAAATGAAGAAAAAGACGTCAAAGCTGCTAAAACTGAGTTTTTTTTTAAACCATAATCTGAAAACTGTCTACATCTTTTGTTTTTTACCTGAGCACAGGACTCCTCTGGCGTCTTAGCACTGACGGAGTACAAAGTGGGCAAGTCCAGGCGGTGCACTGGTAGCTTGTCCAGGTGGTGGAGCAAGGCAGGAGCGAGGTGGGAGCTTTGTCCGGAACCTGAGGCCCCTGCCAGGAGCAGGCGGGGCCGATAGGCTGTGGGCTGTTGGAGTGCAGAACTAGAAACAAATGGCATTTTTATAGTTTGTGCAGCACTTTAGGGAAACAAAACGTAAATCTTTTATAATCAGACAATATTTCTCCCTTAAATTTCCAAAGTATCAGGTAGACCCAGTGAGACGTTACGCTACATCAGCTGGTTCAGATTGACAAACCGCACATTTAGCAAACTTCTGATACTCCCAACTGTACTTGATTAGCTAGAAAACAAGGATTTCAATTAATTTAATAATTTTATTGTATATTGATCTATCAAAAACAGTAAGGAATTAGAGTGCTATTATTAATTTAGCAAGGGCATGTAAATGCACATCAAATGTTAGACCAAAAAAAAAAACAACTTACTATTAATTCTCAGAAAGATTACCTTCTAAAACTGATCCAATATTTCATGTTCAGGCTGAGTTCAAACTAATTTATCTTATGCACTGCTTACAAAATACTGTCTGCAGACACAAAGTATGAAATTTATCCCCTGTGTTAGAAATTGGGGGGAAATAATACAAATATTTTAAGGCAGTCCTGAAAGTCTAACACTGCATTCTCTATTCACGACTGTTCTGCTGATCTCCAGTAGTCGAGGCCTTGTTCTTTTGCTATTTTAGATAAACGTATTTACCAAATTGTTCCTTTTTAACACACTTGTCTTTTTTTCCCCACTTACGAGGAGAAGTGGAGAAAGGGTCTGTGCATTGCTGAAGAGGAAAGCTGACTCTTTGGGGATGCAGAAGGCTGAACTTCATAAATGGAGGCAGGGCCATCCTCATTGTCATCATCGCTGTACAAGTCCTCTAAAAGCAGATGATTGTCGCCGCCTATAATAGAAAAGAACACTACTTTAAAGAAGCATTAATCAACAGTAACATACTTTACTATTGGTTATCTGCTAACACAGGTTTGCTTTTACAGGAATATTTTATTAAACTAGCTTTACCTCTAATATATAAAGGCTTACAGACACAAAGCTACATCCCGTACAAGTAAACAACACACGTGTCACTTCTGGTGCAACAAGTTCAACTTCCTCAACAGAACAACTCCCAATTGGTGATTTTTTCCATTAAGCCTAATCTGCTCTAAATGCTCCTTTGTGGACGGGGGTGAGCGTTACTGTGCTCACACAATGGTGTGCTTTCCAGTCTCCACGGTACCACCTTTAGATGGAAGTGGGGTGAGAATAGACAATATGATCAGTGTGGGAGGGCAGAACAAAGAGCTGTGGTAATAAGGTTGGGAAAACAGAGACAATTCAATACAGCAACATGCCGATGGGAAGCCAAAGGAACGACTGAGATGAGAAAACAAGGTCAAACGGATGAGTGGAACAACAAATTGCCCGTTCTTACCTTGAGTGTTGTCCTTGTCGGTACACTGAGCATGGGGGAAGACTCTGAGAAGAGCTTTCAGCACCAAGGAGAAGGAGCTGGCCAACAGGGGCCTGAGGGTGGGAGAGAGGGCTCGGCCTGGGGGAGCCAGGGCCCTCTGGGAGGCTGGGACTATTGTCCTCATGGCCTTGCTGAAGTCGCCAGGCCCCAGGATGATGGACTTGACGTCAAGCTTCAGTTTGACACTGCTGCCGTAGATCTGGGGGTATCGACGGCGCAGCGCCATCAAGGCCGCCTCTGTGCAAAGTGCTTTTATGTCAGCACCACAGTAGCCTGAAAAAAAGGCAGATGAACAGTCGATTAGTTCTCTCCTTTTGGTTTGGTTTTACCACCGAATATTTCTGTTAATACACTCTGAACATTTAGCCTAAACTTTAAATCAGCACCAACACTGTATACTTTATCATACTTTATCTTTAAAATCTTATCTTTTATATTTTCTTGGTTCTTACCGACACATTTTTCTGAAAGTTCATTGAGAAATGGCTCAGACAGTTTGGGATTCCAGTCCCTCGTGTGAATCTCCAGAATGTGCTTTCTGGCCTTGAATAACAGACAGAGGATCACATCAATTACTACAAAGTAAATCATGTTGAGTAATAATATGTAAAGCATTGTAAGTATCTATTATGCAAGAGAACCAAATCAACACACAATAATGAGAGAGGCATTTGGTTTGAATAAAGAAACAAAAAAAAACACAGATAAGAACAAGAAGTTTCCTGATCTTAGAAATGCCTACTGCAGTGACTCGAAAAATCTGGAATATAATCCTAATTCACACTCGACAACAAGTTAATCTGAAACCGTTGTGTAGAAGGCTGAAATTCAAGAATCAGCCAAGTGTAGGCCTGGACAATAATTTAATATCAATATATATATATCATATTATAATTTTATTTACCAACAATTACAACATTTGAAGATATTTGGGGTATTTTGATGCAAGCTGTAGTTAAATCGTTTTTCACCATCTATGTTTCTATTCACCATCAAATAGCTCAAATTATAAATACTTGCCAAGTGGAAAACCTGCAATTTAAAAAAATTTTAGTTTTTCATTAAAGTGTTTGATGAGTTTTTTTTTTTGTTTGGGTCATAATTCTTAGATTTTGCAAAACTGCAATAAGAAACTTTTTTTTCCCCTATCACTGTCACACGATCAGCAACAGGACCTTACTGCATGTAACAAGACAAGGAAGAAGACCAGAAGCAGTTGGAGGATGATGGCGCCCATTAGAGCTGTCGCTGAAATATACGGATACATCTCATGCGTTTCTCTCAAAGCTATCATGTGAACGAACACATATACCACAATTGTGAAACTTTGCAGTTTTCAAAATAAGCAGAATATGAACCGTTTTGCACTCGTTTGTAATGAAATTACAAAGACTGATGTTCGGGGCACAGATGATTCCAGTCGAACAGAAAGAGCCGCAGCACATCGACTACGTGAGCGACGAAGTACACAGCAGACAGGAAGCCTGAGCTCCGCAGCTCTAAAACTGTGTTACTTAGTTTCAATGTGGCAACTTATAGCTACAAGCTGAGGCCCATGATAATATGACCAAATGCCCCCGCTTATCCCTGCAAATGTCTCAAACTTCAACATCTGATCAACTGTTGCTGCAGACCCTGTAGAGAGTCCATTAGTTGTAGAGCAACAGCTGATCACGTAGTTTACAGTTAGAAAGAAAAGCCGAGAGAGTTGGTTAATTTAGTTTACAGTGAGCTGGTCTTTTCTTAGATGAAGGTTCAAACATTACTGCTGCTGTCAATGTTCGCTATGCCCAGGAAGAAGAAAAAAGTGGAGCTGGGATCTGTTTTGGTTTTTTTGAAAAGATGAGAAGTAAAATAGTAAAAAAAACAAGCCTTTATTGAATAAAATAGAACAACATAACTCAAGATGAGAGCGATGGGGGGGTAGAGAGAGAAGCCTTAGTAGGATGAATTCTGAGAATTATTTAGGGAGCTTTAGATTGTACTTTCAGACCTTGTTATTAGTTGCTTTACTAATTCATTATATTGGCTTGAGAACATATTCTTTCAGGTTAAGGTGTTTTTGTCTTTTATATGAGCCTAGAGCCTAGGCTGCTCTCATTTATATGAGAGTCAATCATGAAAAAATAAAGAAGGCTGAACAGAAACAGACAAGAAGCCATGGACTGAAAAATATTATTATATGGTATTGACCGAAATTAGGAAATATATTGTGATTAGGGCTGCAACTAATAATTATTTAGCAAATCGATTAATCAAATATTTTTTCAATTAATTAATTAATTAATATTTGGATAGCAAAAGATTACTTAAAGATTTTTATGAAATTAAACCAGGCGAAACTAAAACTTTTCCACTTGAGGAGTTCTAGATAGATTATATTGACAGACAAACATTTTTTATATTAAATGCAAAATGTTTACATTTTTTTTTTTTACCATTTAGGCATAATTGCTGCTCAAGTTGGTTCGCTGTCAGCTAAATGCAAGTTTTAGTCTCTATACTCCATTTAACAATTAATCGATTATTAGTTAATGATTATTTCAACAATCGGATTAATCTGTTTATTGAAATAATCGTCAAGTAATAATATTAAATGTTTCAGCCCTAATTGTGCTAAAAGTTGTGGCCATATCATCCAGTCCTAGACAAGGCTTCTAAGAAAATAAAATGTACAGAAACTAAATGTGGAAAAATGATTAGTTCTGAGCTTTATTTTAGGAAATAGGTAGAACAGAACTCTGCTGATGAAAATAGGGATGCTTATTGTCAG